AACATGTAGATGTGATAGAAGAAGCATCGTTAAGAGAGTGAATTTATGTTGCAGAGAACTGCAAAACACTAATTTTTTTTTAAAGCAAAACTAAACTAACTTGAACAAGGAGATAAATACTGCATGAATATGAAGCCAAAACCTCAAATGCACTTATGTTGGTGCCCAGAGAATTTCTTTAAAAAGCAAGTGTTCTAGAGCCCGTATCAGATTTCCTGATATGCATAAAGCTCCTTGTATATCCATTATCATTATTAGCAAAAGAAATGGCTACAAGCAGAAAAAGTACAGTAGATTTTGATTATAATATGCACATACATATATAAACAAACAGATGCGGAAAACACTGCTCACAAATACATCTCTGCAAGGATGGGCAAACTGTAAATCAAAAACTACAATTTAAAATAGTGTAATAACCACAATAAAATTATAAATATAAATTAAAATTATAACGATAACACAGAGGGAATAAGTGATTCATGTAAATAAACAAACAGCAGGGAAAACCCAAAATTTAAAATGCAGAGCCTAATTTCTAAATCGAGGGATAATGAATTTCTATACTAAATGCTAATGCATTACCAATATTTCAGTTACAATACACTTTACCATTAAGTTTTTTGTTTTTGTTTGTTTGTTTGATACAGATACAATACAATGGTCATAAATACATAGTATAATGATATATCTAAACTACATGAAAGGCCATTGCTGCTGTACTGTTTTAATCTCGATTTTGTACTATTTTCTAGTCTCTCTGTTCTGTCTGTATATAGATACAAGTTTCTCTCTTGCTGCTTCCTTCACTTAATTATTTAATTATTTTATATTGGCAATGTGATACACAGCTGTATTTTTTTTTATTTTTTTTTAAAATTGACTTTTGGAATCTTAACCAAAGATGCACAAATCTGCTCATTATAACACTTGTCTCAAATGAATGCTGAGCTCGTCTGATTAACAGTGTTTTGTTTATAACACAGCAATACATATGCTGGTAAACTTTCTAATCAACTAAAACAGCAACATTGGCAGAAAAAGCAAATAGAAGCTTAACTAAGCTACCAAACTTATCAAGTGAGAGGGATTTACAGGGTGTATTGTATACAATGTATATTATTAATAGAAAGTAATGAAGTAATGGCTCAGAGTGAGGATATTCACTGTCCTAATGTGATAATGTCATTCAATATTCATTTGAGACAAATAGGAAAATGTTCCTAAATTAACAAGCCTTGTTAGATAGCTTTTATACTCACATTTCTGTTGAAGGAGTTTCCTGGTAGGAGAGGTAAAGCCATTTTCAGCTCAGCTGAGCAGGAGCAGAATACAGAGCTTCACACTACAGGATAGGGATAGCCTACTTGACCACTGTTGCTAAGGTGATAGCATTGTTTTCAGCCATGTTACTTAGTTACTGTCTTGCAAAACTGAACGTTTTTTTTTTTTTTACTTTCCTCCTAACTTTATTTATACATTTGTCAGTAAACATTACTGGTTTTCAGTTCTAGTTTGTGAAATAAATATAGTGAAAGCAAAATTGTCCTGGCAAGTTGATTTGCTGATTTCCGAGAAAAATTATTTTGTTAGTTATAACTTTTAAAAAAAATACATTTTATAGTTACAATTAACAGTGCACTAAAAACTAGGCACAATTTCTTTATTTCTTTATTTTTCTTTAACAATGTATGCATTCAGGGATTTGGATTTTTTTTTTTAAACATATCTACTTGTCCAAGTGACCAAATCAGTAGCCCAATCTACATGTCCATCATAACAATCTATTTGTCCTGACATCAAATAATTTTAGTTACAAAGATTGGGGCATCTGCCAAAAGCCCAGGACATTGAAAGGGCTATTTGCTAAACTGTGAATTTTCACAATGTAAATCTAAGTAAAAAAAACAAAAAAAAAAACAGAGGCAATAATAGCTGATCTGGTATTATAATTCTCTAACTCTGCTATAGTCCCAGCATGGCTACCTTTGCCTTAGGTTTACTATTTGTATTAATTTAGCAAATATTCTGTTTAATTAATTACCCTGAATGTCTCACCCTCTGCCCTCCCATATTCTCTCCCTTTGTCCTATTGTTTGCTGGCTGTGTGTCAGGTGTGATTGACTGCTTTGTGTATACAGTGTGTGCTGGGTGTGCTTATTGTGTCCTGACTGTGTGAAATGTGTGTGTGGCGTATGCTGGAAGTATTTTATGTGTGTAATGTGTGTGTGGCGTATGTTGGCTTTATGTAAGGTGTGTGTAATGTGTGTGTGGCGTATGCTGGCTGTATGTAATGTGTGTAATGTGTGTAATGTGTGTGTGGTGTATGCTGGCAGTACGTAATAAGTGTGGCGTTTGCTGGCAGTATGTAGTGTGTTTAATGTGTGTGTGGTGTATGCTGGCAGTATGTAATGTGTGTAATGTGTGTGTGGTGTATGCCAGGGCCAGGCTGGGAAAAAAATTCGGCCCGGGTTTTGTCATGAATAATGACAAGCACGCCCCCTCTGAAAGTGAGCATGTTAGTTCAATGAAGAGCTCAAGCATGGGAAAAAGGCCCTGTATTTGTTCTGCGCAGCGCAAGCAAATTTAATAACATGCTTGCGATGTGTTTGCGTTTAACTTGTCTCTGGTGTCTCCATAAGTGAGATACCAGAGGACAAAAGGGCCAGGAAAGTGTATGCTGCATGTGTTTGGAGCCTGCTTGTGGGATTGCGTGTGTGTAGAGTGAGCTGATTGTGGTATTGTGCAAATAGGTCAATTTCATTTGTGTTTGTTGTGTAATATGTGTGGCTAGGGGCTGTAGAGAGTGTGTGTATGTATAGGGGGCATAGTGTGTATAGGGGATGTAGTGAGTGTGGGCAAACGGGCTATAGTGTGTGTGTATAGGTGACAAAGTGTGTGTAGGGGTTGTAGAGAGTGTGTGTTTAGAGAATGTTGTATGTGTTTGCTTACAAGGAATGTAGTGTGTGCATGGGGGATCCAGAGTTTGTATGTCAGGAATGTAGGTGGTGCAGTGTGTGTGTAGGAGATCTAGTGTGTAAATGACCCAGAGTGTGTGTGTGTGTGTGTGTGTGAGTGTGTGTATAGAGGATTTAAAGTGTATATTTTATGTTTGGACATATTGTATGTGTGAGGAGCATGTATTATGTGTTGGGTGTATGTGTGAAGGGTGCAGCATGTGTGTGTGAAGGGTGCAGTGTGTGTGTGTGTGTGTGTGTAAGAGGGGTGCTGTGTGTGTGAGGGTGTTCTTATCTGCCATCACATTCTATGATTCTAATTGCCTTTGTCTGTTAAGTTACTGAGGTTTAATTTATACATTATATATATGTGTGTGTGTTTGTGCTGCATATGTGTGAGAGTGTGCTGTGTGTGTCTGAGGGTGCTATGTGTCTGAGGGTGCTGTGTGTGTATGAGGGTGCTGTATGTGTATGAGGGTGCTGTGTGTGTGAGGGTGCTGTGTGTGTATGAGGGTGCTGTGTGTATGAGGGTGCTGTGTGTGTGTATGAGTGTGCTGTGTGTGTATGAGAGCGCTGTGTGTGTGTGTGTGATGGTGATGTGTGTGTATGAGGGTGCTGTGTGTGTCTGAGGGTGCTGTGTGTGTGTGTATGAGGGTGCTGTGTGTGTGTGTGTGTGTGTGTGTGTGTGTTTGAGGGTGCTGTGTGTGTATGAGGGTGTGTGTGTGTGAGGGTAATGTGTATGTATGGGGTGCTGTGTGTGTCTGAGGTGATGTGTGTGTAATGAGGGTGCTGTGTGTGTGTGTGTGTGTGTGTGTGTGTGTGTGTGTGAAGGTGATGTGTGTGTGTGAGGGTGCAGTGTGTGTATGAGGTGCTGTGTGTGTGGGGGGCATGTGTGTCTGAGGGTGCTGTGTGTGTCTGAGGGTGATGTGTGTGTGTATGAGGGTGCTGTGTGTGTCTGAGGTTGCTGTGTGTGTGTAAGGGGGTACTAGGAGTGTCTGAGTGTACTGTGAGTGAAGGTCTATTTAAATATATGTGTTTTTTTGGGTTTTTGTTTAAAGTAAAAAAAAAAAACGTTATATTCCCCCACCCCCCTTCTTACCTTTAGCCTGGGAGAGGAGGCCATGCTGCCATTGGGGGTGGATGCCGTGCTGCCTTCCCTGGTGGTCTAGTGGTGAGAGTGAACTCTAGCCTGCAGAGCTAGAGTTCATTCTTGCGAGATCTGAGCGTTGCCGTGGTAACCGCAGCAACGCTCAGAATCCCGCGAGAGGAACCCGGTGGAGCTGCTGGCTGGAGCTCCCCGGGTCCTCTCTTGTCTACCTCACTCCCCAGCCGGCGGCCGCTTGTAACTGCCTGTGGGCCAGTGAGGGAGATCTTTGATCTCCCCATCAGCCCATGGAGGCACACAGCAGGGTCGGTGCTCAGATAGCACCGGCTCTGCATGAGCTGACAGGGGAGATCCTGAGATCTCCCCTGCCGGCCTTGGCTTACGGCCATTGATGGCCAGTCCAGGCCTGGTGTATGCTGTCAGTATGTAATGTGTGTAATATGTGTGGTGTATGCTGTCAGTGTGTAATGTATGTGTGGTGTATTCTGGCAGTATGCAAAGTGTGTAATGTGTATGTAGTGTATGCTGGCAGTTCATAATGTGTGTGCCGTATGCCGGCAGTATGTAATGTGTGTAATGCCTAGGCTGGCAGTATGTAATGTGTGTGTGATGTATGCTGGCAGTATGTAATGTGTGTGTGGTGTATGCTGGCAGTATGTAAAGTGTGTAATGTGTGTGTTGTGTATGCTGGCAGTATGCAGTGGTGTATCCTGGTTTTGTGCTGCCCTAGTGATTGGATCAGGCTACCACTTCTGCTGATGTCAGCAGGCAGTGGGCAGGTCTAAAGTAAACAGGGACAAAATATGCAGCTGCAGACGTGAATACAAGTAAGTTTTAC